TACTTTACCTGTAGTATAGCCTAATTTCCATATAGAAGTAATTCCAATTAAGTGTAATAAATTAGGAATATAAGCATTAATACTGTTCGATCATCTCACTTTTCGAAATAGAACTTGATCTACTTTTATACAGCTTTTAAAATTAATGATCGAGTCCACGCCATAGGTAAATTGGATTCTGTCGAATCTGTCCTCTTATACAAGCATATTAGCTAAGCCATAGTAGTGATAATACTATAAAAAAAAGTGGAAGCCTAAACTCTAATTTTAATTACTTTTTGCTTATCTAAGAGGATTAGTATTATTGTTGTGAAATATATCCCATAACATTGTACAGTTTGAGACATAAACAGCATGTAAACCTTTTATTAAATAACTGTTATAATTAGAATGGAGTAATTTCCTTCAGGCTCATCAAATAATTTCTATGGTTGAAAAATGAGAAATAGTAGTAAGTGTAAGACACCAACAAGTTAAAGTACATGTAAGAGCTGACTAAAAAAGCTATGTTAGGACAGATAACATAGATATTTGCGCAAGTATACTCTGATCGCTTTTTGATAATATAAATTGTAATTATCAGATTTGGGCTTTAAATCAGGATTCCTTAACTTTAGTCGATATGTGAACGTTAAATACTAGATACTATCATTAGCGAGATAAATTCATGTAGCGATCGTAATTAAAAGGAAAGAGAACAAAGCTATAAAATTTTACATTAATACCACTAAAATATCAAATAAAAGATTAGTTAATCTATAAATTTTGCGGTCATACCCTTTGCCTAGCTTAACGCAGTGGTTACGACACGAATCAAAGTACGGTAAAGTGGAATGTTCAATAAGGTTATAATGCCATACTATGGGATAGAACGGCCAATTTTTGTTAAAATTAAATATGAAGTCAATAAGTGTTGTTCATAATTGGACGTTAGCCATGATCATTTATTCTCTTCGAATGGCCTATACTGTTTGTTTTAGCTTTATTACATCTGCTACCATAAAGATAGTTCTGCAGTAAATAGTGTTTTTGTATATTAACAATCTATGATAAAAATTCTTTAATAAATATCATGTTATTAAATTTTAATATTATAGTTTCCAATGAGCTGATAAAAATGTAAAACTTGTAAGTAGATCATAGACATGAGTAACGTTTCATGCCGTTCTCGTATTGCAATGATCTGTTAACACTAGCAGTTTCTTTGGCTTAGCGACGTACGTCCACAATTGTATAGTTGAATGATTCTTTACTACAGTACAAATATTTAAATTTTGTCTAGATAGCCATAATGCATAATTAAATCTACTGTAATTGGCAAAATTGAAATGTCAAAGGAGCCTCAATTCCCTACAATTGGCATTTCTAAGGTTTCAATATTTTACCGATGGACCATTTATTGAATACCTTTTTCTTATTACATTTGAGGCATAGAACATGTATCTTTTCAAATGTTCGATATATATTTTTAGACTGACTGATAGTTACTTGTTCGATGGCTAATAAAATTTTTAAAATGTATTGAATAGTATAAAAATAACATTCTAGCTTTGGATATTGTAATATATGACTCCAATAGGTATCATACTCATAATAAACTAACGTGATAATAGACGATTATTCTATTCTTATTTGCTTTATATCTTATACCATACTAATTATTAAAATATTCTCTAAAAAATCGTAAGAAAAGTTTTATTTGGTTTTGTAATAATATAGCCAGATGAAATCGCTTGTAATAAAATAAATTATGCCAAAATCCGATAAACATGTTTGCTAAATATAAGTATTCAGTTCACGTTTTGTTCTAAATCAACGAACCTAGTCATATTCTTTTTGTCTGGTCAGAAAAAACGTATATTAGAGGAAATGTATACTGAAAAATAGATTTTGTTAAAGACAATGGCATAGACACAGATGGAAAGAGAAAAACAATAATTAAAGTTTGAGAATAGAAGAAAGTCAAAATGCGACAAAATCAATTGAGAACTACGGTGGGGGTGGCCAATCAATAATAGCGAAAGGAAAACTGTTCTCATTATCTCAATCTGAGTGCCAATATCCTATTTAAATAAAAGCAATCAACTAAACAATAATTTTGAGACAAAAGTTCATCATTATCTCTAGTTTATTACTAGTAGAAGGTCCTACACACACGTAATTATTATTTTATGGTACAAAGGATACTTTAAAGGTTGGGAGTACAATTAAATAGTGTACGTATAGTATATATATGCATATGCGTATATATGTATGTGTGTGGATATAGGCGGCTCAAGATTGTTTTAATTTCTAACTCTTGATATCACTTACCCATTCTAAAGCTTAATAATTTTAAAGCCAAGGTTGAAAATAAATCATATATACCAGCGCGGTTATCTTAATTATTGCAGTTGGTAACTAGATAAATTATCTCTTCCAAAACGCTAATTTGGCAAATATATATATATTTACATATCAGGTAAGCTATGATATGAATTAACTTAGAGCAAGTTAATCAATGTGGATCTTTTTTTATGGTAATGTTCGTAAATTTCTTGACTCATGCTTGATATAATTGTTGTTGCATTAAAACATGAAATTTTTTACATGGAAATGATATAAATAGCATTTACGCCTTCTTAAACGATGTACCCCGTTATACATACTATCATGAAGGGGCGCACCATCTTTGTTGCTAACTTAATGAGTGCTAGCCAAATAAAGCTGAATGATAACTCATAACTCTTGCTAACGTTAAGACGACCGTCAATTGCTCCTAATACAGATAGTTATTGGCAGAAAGCTGTTCCTTCTTAGATTGACATTTAAACTTATAGTTTAGCTTAATACTCATAAACTATACTGGCAAATGAAGAATCGATATTCTATCATAACACAGTTATTATCATTTAAATTAAATTTAAATGTCCAATTTTCCGATCATATCGATGCAGGATTGCTTTAGTTTATTAATCCGTATTTTAGTCTTGGCTCCTTCGAGCAATGTCTCTCTCCTACACATACATTCTCTATATTTCTCACTCTTGTTTTCATCCTTCTATTTCCATGACAACACGTAGAGTTGACACGATCACATGAACAACAAAGTGAGTAGTAGATATTCCTAATTTTTTCTTTTTCCGTCGTTTTTATCAGTTTACTCTGTATGTTTTGTTGGAGGTTCATAGTCTAAATATTCAACAGAAGCGTTCTCTAAGTTAATTTTAAACGTAGTGCATATACACGAACATTTCTTACAATAGTATGATTCCGGGTAGAAGTGTGGAGAACAATCACTATATTAATACTGTACCATAAGTGAATGGTAAATAATAAAGCTGCCTAAAGATTCTAGATTCTCCTATTTATAATCACGAGTTTGATAAATACACCATTGAATTAGACCATATATCTTACTATATCCATCAAGAACATGAATTTTATCAGTCAGTGAACTATTAGTAATATCTTAACATATTTAATACGATTATATTTGTAAAACGTACGAACCAATTCAACTAAATGTATATTTTCCGATATTCAGTATAGTTTATTATAGTTCCTATGATATGACAATATTGAACTACAGTAATGCTATTGTGTAGTGGTTATCTTACTTATTCAATATATTGTCATAGTTACAGATTTGCGCGTATATAGCCGATAATAGTAAATTTATTTTTACATAAGAAAGTAATCTAAAATGAAAGGTTACAGCAACAACTTCCCAGGGTATGAAATAAAAGGATATTACTTGATCATGACCGTTTTCATGTAATAAATTCATCATCATTCTTCCTTATACGTAGATTATATAAATGGGATTAATAAAAATTTTTTAATAACTAGAGACATTAAATAGATCATGTTTTAAGTTTTATCATATTGTAGTACTTTCCAGTACTTAAGTTGTTCAATCACTGAGTCTAATAAATCGAGAATAAATTTTCGCTTAATAATTTATTTTTAAAATCAGGTTATAGGAGTAGGATGTACATTTCAATATTGTTCATTAAAGCACTGCTATCTGTCAATCTTCGATATCATACTATTTAAAATGCCCTGTTTATTAAGATGTGATGCCATAATATTCTTAAATACTGTTTCAAAGCAAGATCTAAACTTGAAGTTTAAGTTTTGTCCGTATGCTGCTAAGTGAATACTGTATCAGAAGTTAATTATTTCTGAAAAGACTTGCATTCAATTGTCAAGTTAATGGTTAGACTTCTTGGTCATCATAGCTTTACACAAAATCATTTTTAGAATTATTGTATAATACTTTTATAAGTGCAGCTTAAAAAATCTAGTTCTACCACCAAAGGTAATGAGGCAAATTTATTGGTTTTATGTTGCAGCTATATTCTTTCATTCACATCTTGAGTGGTATAATTGCGTGTAATCAATAATGTTTACTGCATAAGATTGTATAGATAAGTACCCATAATCATAATCATGGAGAGCTGGGCTATAGATATCTCAAAAGTAAGAAGACTTTCGCTTGTGTTTTTACAGTATTTCAACTATAATATAATCATTTGCTTTTGCTATATTAACGCTAACGATTAATTAAACGAAATATAATCGATGGTAAAGGAGCTTCTAGCATTTAAATGTCTGCCACTAGAATTCAGTCTAAAATTTTAAGCAGGATCCATATCTATATAAAAAAATATTTTCTTTCTACGCTAATGATTTACAAGTTTCATTCTTCTCCTATGGGATATCATACTGCACATTTTCCATCACTCTCGCACGATGTATATAATACTAAAACCGATTTTCATTTCGTTGAATAAATGTCTACGACTAAAGTTGTTAAATACTTGCAATATACTCGATGGATACACCCTAATCATACATATCAATAATACATTCTACGGAACGATCTTATTTATTCTTACCCATGAGACTCTTCTTATTCAAGAAATCAATAACAATGTTTGCTTTATAGATCTTACTTTCTTAATATATTTTAAACTAAAATATTTTATTATTCAACATAATTTCTGCAGTAAAAGATGCAAGTCAATCAAGTTAGCTCTGAGCAATTTCCATCCATTATTGATCTAAACGTGGGTGGCCAACTATATACAACATCGCTATCAATCTTAGTTAAAGATCCAAAATCATTGTTAGGTGCAATGTTCAGTGGTAGACAACGTATTGCGCGCGATGCGCGAGGCCGTTATTTTATAGATCGTGATGGTGCACTATTTCGTTACGTATTAGACTATTTACGCAATTCGAAATTATGTCTGCCGGAAGAATTTATTGAGCGTGAAAGATTATTGTGTGAAGCTGAATATTACAAAATTGAAGGCTTAATTGAAGCATTACGCGAAAAAACCAATATAGGGCGACAAAAAGGCATTCTATCATTAAGTTATCGTGGGACTTACGCCTTTGGACGTGATGGATTGGCAGATGTTAAATTTCGTAAAATTCATCGAATTTTGGTTTGTGGTAATGTTACTTTAACCCGTGAAGTGTTTGAAGATACATTAAATGAAACGCGAGATCCTGATCGAAGTGATAATAGCTATTCTAGTCGTTTCTACTTAAAGCATGGCCATTTAGAGAAAGCATTTGATTTGCTAGCTGAGAAGGGCTTCGATTTAATTGCAAGTCATGCTGGTGGAGCTGGTCATGATGGTGAATCAGATGAAACCAAATGGAATCACTTTATTGAATATATATTTCAACGCAAGTAGACGGTATTATACAGCATTAAATAGTTTAATTGACATGTCATAGCGGAACCCGTTCAATGCATACCGGCACTGTAGTAAATAAATAAATATTGAAAATTGGAAAGTTGTCCCTTCTATCGTACTATTTATTACCGTTGATAATTTCTTTATACACTAGTTGATTTAAACAACTTAGTGCTAGTTAATGCTGATATAGCATATGTAATATCATACATTTCAAATCAATGAGGTTACTAAAAATTGGTATATAAACTAATGATGCTAGCTATATAATTAGACTTAAATTTACTGCTACTTTAGCACATTATAAATTACTACCGTTTCTAATGTTGAAGTTTGATTTAGGTTAACGGAATAACCTCAGACAAGGTTCTAATTTCTTTCAAAATATTGTCATATAATTATTGCACACGACTACCTTTTTACCTGATTCAGAAGGAAATGTAATAAATATCATATGGTTGATAAAAGTTATGTTCCTTGCTTGATAGTCCGAGTTTGTTTACACGTGTTTATAGATTCGATATAAAAATAAATGGCGTACATTATTAGAGGCGCAACTCCTATACCCCAGTGAAAGTAAATACCATTAATAAAGTTTAATTTTAGAATTAGTCATTTCCAGGATGATGATAGTTTTGTTATAGTCCATATCAAATAAACAGCAATACTTTATAACTTCTTCTCATTACATTACAATTTATTGTACTATTGATTGCGCTATTACTTTACCACTTTTTAGGTTAGCGCTTATCAATGGCTATTCGGCCTAATTTTTTAAAATAGCTGTGTAGCCGTTATAGCAAGTTTCCAGGCTTATATATTTGCATGCTGTATACATAGGAGAACCAACGTTTTGAGCTTTTTCAAGCTGTCAAAAGTGAATGCAAGTTTTCAACATCTTGTGTTTAGGCATGTAGTGTAGTTGCTGATTCTGTTGGAATTACACGCAATATTTCGGACGGTTAACTTTAATCTCCTTATGTTGCATAAAACATTTTATCCGTGTATACTCGTATGTTACAGACATATTATTCATCCAATCCAATCATTTTCTACCTAGTCGAAGCTGTAATTCACCCGTCGGTAATGAAGGGTAATAAACTGAGGTTCATGTATTCTATCGCTTATAAACTGCAAAATGCAAACAAATAGAGTAGGTGAATAACGTGGCTGTACCATTAATCTACATACTTTTATAGTTATCTGCTCTTTTAAGCCTATCATAAATACTGTGTTATTAAATAATTAAAATTTTGATTTTAACGCACTACAGTTATACACTGTACTGTACGTCTTTAGATGTTAAAGGCATACGGGCATGGAATAATTTCAATTAACTGATTGGATATTAAATCGTCATAACGTTGCTTAATTTTTATAGGTGACTATAAGCATTAATTGAAATTAACTATGATACTAGGGACAGTATGAGGTATTATGATTCGTTTTAGTAATCATTGAAAACTTTTCGTTGGATCAGGACTATTCATCATCCCCCTCCCCCAAGGGCCTCCTACGTGAAGCCTCTATATTTAAAGTACGATAATATCAAATAAGTAAAGAATGCAGTATCATTTTTCTAAATATGACTATGCCTGTAAGGTTAGGCCGGAAAAGCGATTAATAAAACATTGTAGCAATAATCAAGAACCCTTTTCAAGTCGCTAGTGATGAAGTGCATAAGAAAAATCAAAAATTGAACTATTATCTAGGTGAATCAAGGGAAAATTCGAAAATTTTGTGGCATATTGCAGTATGGGACATTAATTTACTATACTTTTATCCGTTAAAATGAATTTAATTTGTCATTCGCAGTATTCATATAACGTAGTATGCATTGCTAAGGGCTACTGCAGTAAAAAGATAAAGAATCACTTACGTGCGTAATTGGATATATTGCGCTTGTGGTTGGCTGATTGGGTTAAATCCAAACAACTTTATTAGTTTTTGTACGGATATTATAAACATATAGCGATTGTATACACTGTATATTACCATCAATATGCTCATTGCATTAAATGCACTTGCGAGTTGTGACAATAAAGTTGCAGTTCCGTTAATTAGGAAAAAAAACAGGCAAGCTTTATAATAATAAACGAATAATGATGCTTCAAGGTAAATTTTAAATTGATTAAAATATTAGAGCAGGATAACTTGAAACAAGGGTTAGGGCTCCAGTCGATCTGGCGTCAAAACATTTCAAGTCCCTGAAATTTTGAGATGAAATCAAAAAAAGACCATTAGCTGCGGATTCACGTTTTCACTTGTCATAATTCTAGAACCATCGCAAGCAATTTTAGATTCAACAATAAATCATTAGGATTACTCTGAACAAAAAAAACTTCTTGTACTATATAGCATATTAGCAATGTTTGTATCGAAACAATCACGGGTCTTGACCTTATCCAATTATTTTGACGTTTAACCTTTTATAGGCAAACTATTATGTAAAATGTAAAAATACTTTACATTTGGATGAAACAAAATAAACAATGTAGTACCATTTAGCTAGCGGGTTAACAAATAAAAATACTAAATACATATATATATATGTTATATATGTTATATATTTATAAATAATCCATCAGCGCCTGAATATGATGACCGGTTATATAATAATCATATAAAATTCATAAGAAAAGTCAGATGTTTACTTCATTTTGCTTCTGAAGATCTAAATTTATATCTATGTACAGTACTGTACGTAGACATAGATTCCACATTACTCTAATAAAAGCAATCCTAAAATAAGGAAGTAATTTAAAAACTTTTGTAATACAGTAAAAATGTTCAAGGCATCGAATATGATCATACCCATGAATTATTAGGATTTGATAAATTTAAATAGATGAAATTTATTAACGTCTATACATTTATAGCGTCAAAAGGATTTCTTAATTATACTTAAATTCAGCAACCAGTGACATGTGATCTGATGGGTAATGCTCAGCTGGCAAAGCGTTTGGGCCAATTTCCGACATTGTTGGTATGGCAAGGAATTGAACGCGCTTTAAAAATTTATCAGAAAACCAAATATAATCGATCGTATGACACACTTGACATTTAGGGCGAAATTTCCAAGTAGTAAATTTAGGTTCTTCACCGTTTAATGCATAAGCACTTTTAAGATGACATGGTTGAAAGTTTGCAAAGTTTGTATAAGTTGGAGTATTTGGATCGGTATTAAAATCCCCACATATGATAATAGGAATATATTCGAAGTTAATTAGCTGACCAACTTTATTCAGCAAAAATGCACTTTGTTCCTTACGTATGTTTTCACACCATTCGCTAGAATGAGATTTTAAGTGAGTGCAAACGATACAAATTTTCTTTGACTCAGGTAAAAAGGTAGTCTCTAATAATATAACGATTGCGACTTGATTGGTATCTCCGTCATTCTTCCGAAGGATGAACTGGTCGTGTAAAATTAAGGAGAACTTTTTGGCTGAGAAGAATAATGCACATCCATCTGGACCGTTATTTTCATCGTATAAAAGACAGGGTGAATCAGGTTTAGGTACGAAAAAACCAATGTAATCCAGAGATGTTAGGATAGGTTGAAAAAAATCTGAATAATGGTCAACTTCTTCTAGACAGATAATATCGGCTTTACTCCTTAAAATTTCTTGCATCAGACTATGCTTTCTTGAGGACCAAGCTAAGGCAGTCTGCGGACACTTAATAAAGTTTTCATTGGGTCCTGATTTACTTAATGCTGTAATTAAAAAGCGTTATAGAGTTAGTCTCTAAACTTCTGCAGGTTTACAGAAATGGCTGTCGATTATGACATGGAACTCGCAATTTTTAAAACGCGTACACTATTCTCCTATTTCACTGTAGAGTGCAATATGCAATTGCCTTGCCGCAATGCAACAGAATACTCGCAAGAGCTTGTTCGCAATTATATAGAAAGTTGCGTTATTACTCTTTTGCCATCCATGTTCGTTATTACAGTTCATTATGATTACGTCATCTGATCGTGTACTGAGCAACTCAATTCTGTAGAATAATTCAAATTTTAATTTCATGCAGTAAAATGAAATGCCACCGAGAATGTATTGGTATAGCCAGCTGGTAGAGTGCAAAGATATTTGTTGTTGCTCACTGTAAAAAATATGATCCACTGTACTGTACTGTAAGTCATTTGTTCTGCTCCAAGTTATGAACTGGATAGTCTATATGCTCATTTTGGATTTGATAAGTTTATTCTTATTCTTATGGGGCAGAGCGAGCATATAGTTAGGTTTTATAATTTAAAAAATCTAGTCATTACCCGCTTTGGCTAAGCAAAAGAAAGTTGATTAGTAGACTATTCACTATGACTGGCAACGTAAGTTCAAATTACTGTACGATATCTGTCAATAAAAATTTCCACTTGATCCTGTCGCATAAAGAAAGTTATATTAGCACATCGGCTAAGGTAATGGAAATCCAATTTTACGAAACTAGTGGAGTTTTAGGTTCAAGCTTGTGTTTGATAAAGTAATGTTCTATGTACTCATGTCTATCAAAATTTTAGATTGCAGTTTTATACATTTCTCTCTTTCAAATGCTAGGTGACTGCTAAGCGTACAGTTCACTGAATTACTAAGGCATGATGAGATTTTATTGATAGAGAAATTGACTGCGCCTAATCGGTCCTGCATAATACTGTACAGGACAGCCTTACCATCCGCTAGCACATTCCACTGCATCACTCGGAAGCATTCGTCATGACGGGCCTGATGACTGGACACTTCTTGTAGGATATCGTTTTGATCACATCGTACAAATTGTCTATTAATAACGGAAGGCGAATTTTTTAAAGTATGCAATGTGTCCTCTAAAACTGGAGATGATGCGGCATCCATCCCTGCAGTATGCATTGCGGAGACATTACCAAAGGTACCCAAAATGTGAAAGGGAAAACTAGCCTCTTTCTGGTAGCGAGCATCGGTACCGGTACCAGCGATTGGAAAAAAGTAAACACCGGTAAAGTGCGACGTACAGTACATTGTACAGTGCGACTTACAGTATATTGTACTGTACCCTATCGATGGAATTGACGGTACAGTACAGTACAGTAGAGTGTACTGTAGAGTACGGCACCAACAGTAGACTACAAGTGTATGAAATTGCGAGACGAATTCAATTTTGTACTGTACAGTACACGGCGCAGTAGTTCTCTTCTCTTGCTACACTACTGTACAGTACAGTGTACAGTACAGTACTGTAGAGTTTCACTGTAGGCTGTACAGTACAGTACTGTACTGTACTGTAAATGTGCAGTGCACAACTGACAGAGAAAAGGAAAGTAATTGGAAATTTATTCCTTTAGTATTAACACAATCCATTGACGCAAAGTATCACCAAGGGGGACTTTCTGCTCGTTAATTATACAAATTTAGAAATGGCTACATGTCGAATGGATAGAATCAAGCATTCACCATTAACAGTAAGTACTGCACAGTAACGGCGAACTAGGCAAAGTCCACCATAGTTTTTTACCTTGTGTGGTGTCCATTATCCACTGTCCAAGTGACCACTGGTGTACTGTACACTGTACACTGTAACGGCGAACTAGGCAAAGTCCATCATAGTAGTTTTTAGTTTTTACCTTGTGTGGGTATCCATTGTCCACTGTCCAGTGTCCAGTGGCCACTAGTGTAAGCTGTGCAGTACTGTACACTGTACAGCAAAATGCAAAATACTGTACAAGTTGTCCCAGAACTGATTCCCGATAAATTTTAAAAATAAAAAATTGAAATTTTTGTCGATTTTCAATAAAATACATATCAGTCGATAGAGGAAGAGTTAAATTATAAGAATCCATTGGCAGAATTCACGTACGATATCTAATTTCTCCATAATTCAAGTTCTACTGCAAACCGTGTACACCGTGATATGTTATTACGTTGTACACTCAAATGTACTGTACACAATGTACAGTATAGCGAGATTTGGAGTCATAAAAGAATCTTGTATTTGACCATAGTAGCTACTATAAGACCGAACACCAGATAGTGATATCCTCGGCCACTGTAGTGATGACTGTACACTGTGTACAGGGTGTGTGGAAAGTCATTTGAGATTTCTGAGTGTAATATCAGGATATTTTCCAATGATTTTCCTCACATTTTTGTTGTAATCGTATAGAGTAAAGATTATCAGCTCACAGCAATCCCCATACGCCACCATTCTTCGTGGTACAATCTCTTGTGTTTGACCATAGAGGCAACTACTGTATAGGACTAAACACTCGGTTATAACTTCATATGTACATTCACCGATTCTGCGCAGTACCATCCTTACTTTCCACTGTATCAGTGGCTTCTCGGTGCCGCTGGTAGTGAACACGAGCGGTAGCACACTACAGTACAGCACTGGAAGAGGACATTTTTCAACGCTTCCAACTCGGAATGAAGTGATTGACTAGCGCAGTTTACGTCGTTGTGCACGGAATTAATCATTTCTTGGATTCAATAAAGTGGTAAGATTACTAAGATTGATGTGTTGATAGAGTAAAAAATATTCTGTACTTTGAGAAGAAGTCTTAACGTCAGGCCAGTTGTGATTTAAAAATAATACTTTGCAGTAACGATGTGATACAATCAGTGTAGGCGTATCTGTACTTGACATTCTGCCAAGAGGACTGGTGTTGTTCGGTTGCAAATTTCGACAGACTAGAATGGGATAATACACAAATATATTATAAAGGAAATTTTTTAACATACTGTACTATCGATACAATGAATAGATAATCTCATACTTTAAATATAGTAAGGTATGATTGCGTTTCTAGTAACGATATGCTAAGAAAGTTTAAAAATGCTCTTCGATATGATATTATAATCGATTTCAGACAACCTTACGTTAGGTACAATTACTTCCGGCTGCATAGCGCGAAATATTCCAAAATGGAAGCTTGCATAGAGCTATACATTTTCTATTATAGATTGAACAGTGATAGAAGCAATTTTCTGATACCTAATTGATACTGATTTGAAGGAATATCCTCTGAACTAGAAATACGGTCAAGCTGTTACCGACAGAAATATGTCTGAATCTATACAGTACAATGGACATCCGCACGTTAAATTATGCTTACCTTATTGATTAGAATAATTTTATCTCTTAGCACCATAATAAAGATTGAAATTGTTATGATACTGCGAACTACATTATAATGGCAATGATTACGAAGTACAGTAGTAATATTACGTGATACCCTTGCGAAATTCTATCACATCCAATCCTCAACATGTTACTCAATCTAGCGTACGCGACTACGCTTACACTGTTCGTGACCAATTCAGTGACTGGTCTGTATCAAGATTGATTATGTAGCAAAATACTTCTATGACAGATGATGGAAAATCTTACGTAATGTCTAAAGTAATCGTATTTGTAAGCCGAGTAATATCCTATCCTATTACTGTGTAACACTCGGTAGTAAATATCTACGTAGGATTGATGATATTAGTATGAAACCTTTTCGTGGTGACTTCGATAGCAGGATTAGCAAGGATAGAAGATACCCTTAATTAGAAAGTCATACAGGATAACTCATCATATAACGTTGCTCGTCGCTTTATTGGTAGAATGTCGTCGTAATTGAACTCTATAGTCCATATACTTTTATCCACTGAAGATGTCAACATTGGGTTCACTTTAAGGCTAGCACTATTTGAACAACTCTTTGCTTGCATTGCAAATCTTAGCGACATTTTTATATTTTTCGGAAGATCATTTTGTTATCGGATTACAGCCATAGACAGGACATAAATACTAGTGGGAGACTTGATGGTTGAGATTCTCTAAATTGACCGCTTCAGAAATAGTTTGTGCTAGGCATACAAATACACTCGTATTTTCATGCATATGTGAAGTCGAGTATTAAACTCTTACAATGCCTGTCTATTCTCATAGACTCCTAAGAGTTTTTCTTATTTATAACTCGCTTGTAAATATAGTAGGTCCAATTTGAGATATCTTTTGCCATGATCTATCAATTCATTCAAGGACTCACTGGATCTTCTGCCATGCTGCTGTTCTTAAATAAAGTATTCCATTTCGATGTCTCCCAATAAAGTACGCTTTAATTCTGAGCGTAGGCCAATTTCTATAAATAGTTTTCTTTATTAACTCTGATTAATATCCGGGTAGATACTTATTGCGACGAAGATTTACAATTTATAGTTGTATAAATATGAAACGATGCATTTAAGGGCTGTGGAAGATTGTTTCACCAGCTATCTTATAATTTGTTAGTTTAAAACTATTCAATCCTAGAATACTATCGTAAATATGGTTCAAAGATATAGCAAATAAAAATTCGGAAACAAATTGGTCTGGTTATAGATCCTAATGGAGTTTTCATTAGTTTTTTAACATCATAATAAGCATGTGGTTTTGATCCTGTACATATGTATATTCTTTATATTTTTAGGAATTTTAATGCTGTTAAAACAAAGTTATGGCTTTCGTATTTTATGCTAATAGTGGTACGTTGTACACCTTCGATGTTGAGGTTGCTCTAGAAAGTGTCAGTAAGCTAAAGGAAGAAATATTTGAAAAGATTAATGTTGGCATAGCCAATCAAGTGCTACTCGTCAATGGAGGACAACTTCTTAATTCTGCTAATAAAATCTGTTTCTACAATGGGTAAGTAAATCCGTGGTTGTCGTCAGTGCCTTTTAGGCTTGCTTACGATATTACAATACTTGTGGCAGTTGTCATCTTTTATCATTATAACTCCACAGAGTATCACATTAAGCAGTAGTAATGCTTATTACGGTATAATGTCCTTGCAATAAATGCGCGATCATTTCTTCTAATCTGCAGAATCGGTTACTTTTTTCCAATAGGTGTGGCACGGTAGAGTCTAACCCTATCTATCTTTTCAACAAGTCGATCATGGAAATGCCAAATCCTCCATCGATCAAGCCATATGCATCTAATATTCGCTGGACAGAAGCAATAGAGTCAGCCTTAAGTTTGCCTAACTCTATCAAAACGGTTGCAGTTAGGACAGATCTAGCGTTACAATTGAGTAGAGAAGGTAAATCTAGCTGGTAACTTGCAGTAGTTCCTATTTAGGAGTGTGCACGAAATTAATTGTCGCTCCCTTGACCATTTCATTTTCAGCAACAGATAAACAGATGTCAACATGAGGTCAAAGGGACTTTACTTTCACTTTGCATGCATATCACTACTCTAGAACCGTGTTATTGCAATTCTTTGTAACACTTAGTTCTATTGTAACTGCATTTCCTTCAGTGTATTTTAACTACCGATTGTGTACGTAATGCACTTGCTAGTGATAACTCCTCTCCTTCACAATTTGACATCTCAATTGCATTCATTGATAGCAAAATGTAACTTTTATAATTGTTATACTATGCTACAGACGATAGGATGATAGAAGAATTAAAGATTCTGGTTCGCGATCAGCAGCTGCAGTATGCTGCTTGGAAGGCGGTTTTCACTAATTTAGGATCTGTAGCTGATTCACTGCGAAAGCGGTTGAACGCTTTTAGCAATAATTGTAATGACTATGTTAGTAAAAGAGAGAAGTATTTGACAACGTTAGACAGGTATACTTGTACAACTTTTGTGCTATTCTTTAAAGAAAGCTATCTGTAAAATTTTATTGCTGAATTTAAAAAATTCGCATATTTAGTCTATACTATCCAGCATTATTATCCGTATACTATAATCTATCCTATTCAATATTTCTAGGCTTGATCACGTCCTACCATTGCTTAAATACGTTCCCGTTATTCCGAGGTTGTTATCGAGTAGCGATAATGAACTAGAAAGTACCGAAATGAGCTTATTTGATTGGATTATTACTCAAGATGCTGGTAGTAATTTGAACAGTATGATTGAAGATTGTAGTAGAGCGTTAAAACATTTAAATGATGCCTTTTATAAAGACCTGATTGGAGAAATGTGTGCTGTTGCGGATGCTGTTAATAATGCAGATATGATAGAGGTAAAAGGTATCGAAAATCGATTCAACGATTTATCTCAACTAGTTTCTAGTGGGCAAGAGATAGCCCAAAATCAGACTGAAATGGCTCAAGGTTTTGCACAAAATAACGATAGAATTAGTAGTTTAAAGGATAGTTCAGTCTTGTCCGATCTTTGGCAAGGCCATACGGAACAGCTGAAACTTATGCATGCTAATCATAAAAAATTAAATGATATTTATCAACGTTGCTTTCGTTCCAAAACGGAATTATCCAATAATTTACACGGTCGTCTTCGTTGGTTAATCGTAATGGAAAGGAGTATTTGTGAATGTGATAGTAAGTTAGTCATCCATCATCAAACGCTAAAACATTTGCGTCATAGACTATCCATTCTGGAGCAAATTAGATCATCTCCAGAAGTATACTTGAGGTTGCTATCTGAAACTGTGCACAGATGGGAATTTTCTGTTAACGTCATGCATTGGGCTAGTAAAGTATATGAAAAATCTCAAAAAGAGCTACAAGAAGAAATTACCCGAAGAAAGCAATTTGCAGATTGGATTGGCAAGCATTTCTTGTTACGACTCTTCCCTGGTTTAAGCGAGTACCCTATTACATATTCCCATCAACCACCTAAAACTATTAATACTACTTTGCCATCTATATCTCGAGATGATTTACAAAGATTATATTATGAATTAAATAGTAATGCATTATCGGAGCTATCTTTAAAGAAAATGGCCGATGATTTACTGGTCAAACCATGTAATTTTAGTTGTAGTGGAAAGTTGTCTCCAACGTCAAAAAGTAATAGATTTGAGTTCATTGCAATGGATGAAACCGTCGTACCCACCAATAAAGCATTTAATAATAACAGCCCTAGGTTGTTTTCTGATGATCCGGATGATTCCGAACCTTTTATTTTTTCTAGTAATACTGATAGCATTAATCACACCCTCTTAAGAAATGGTAAAGATAAGAATCAAAGTCCAAATATTGATGATACTATAACAAGCCCACGAATGCCCGATGGCCTTGAAAGCAAAGACTATGATAGTAAAGTGATAGCGAATCGAATGTTTAAGCAATGGAAAGAAAGTTACTTAGCAACTGTAAAATCTGAACTTAATGATATTTTAAACGAGGTTAAGAAAAGTAAACGTGATATTGACGACTACATCACAGATACAAATGAGAAGCTAAATGTTGTACTGGCTTCATTTAATGAACAGGTAAGGTTTAATTGTGAGCAATTTTCCTAACAATTGCATTCTCGAAACTTAAATACTTGCTTGTTTTGCGTTCTTAATTCTTATAGCAATCCCAAATTGTTGCTGATCGCTCCGATTGTTCGCCGGACGATGTCTGCAATATTGATAATGCAAGTAACGAAGATACTATTAAGCTGACAACGTTATTAAAGGCCGTAGATGATATCATGTTGGATAGCGATATTATGCGAGATATTTCTATAATTACATCTGACGGCAACGATATAGATAATAAGATCGATAATATAGTTCAGGTTATAAAATATTCAAAAGAACAAAAGCTTGAATCAGCTAAAATTAAAGAAGAATTAGCCGCTGTTAAAGCTACTAGAGAACCTTTAGCTATTATTGAAATGCAAGAGAAATTGATAGTTAAGGAAAAGGAATGTGACAGTCTCAAGGAACAAATTACCATGCTTTCCTCATATCAAGCACTACATGAGTTAGACAGTAAAGTATTTACTAAAAATACTGATTCCATGACTTTGACAAGTCTTTCTAGATCAATAGGCAATGCATTTGTTACACTAAGTGAATGTAAACGATCCTGCTCATCATTTATAAACAATGGAAATGCAGACGATATTACCTCTTTGGCTACGATTTTAGATAAGGTAGAATCACAAGTCATGACTATTAGCCAAGAATTAAATGAGGTGGTTAAAGAACTCCGGAAATCGAATGAAAATGAAATTCCAAACTTAGACGATGATAGTAAGTCTCCGTCAGCGCTTTCAGAACTAGATGCACTTACAGCTGAAAATAACTATTTAAAAGAGAAGCTGAATGAGAGATTTAATAGCAGCTCATCAACGACTAATTTGTCGTACGTCAAAAACGTAGCATATTGTGATTTTAACTTAAATGATTACATTATTGTGATTTTAAATAAAATAACTCAATCATGCGAGATCTGTACACCACGTCAAAAGTTCTATTTAATGCACCCAACGTGTCAAGGTTATTTTAAACATTTCATTGCTGGAGTAGGAAATACCGGACCGCAATGGGTATTGGCGCAGATAGAAAAGATGGAACATTGTCAGGCTAAGAAAGATATTAATCGATTCAATGTCGCTAAAGATGAAATGTTTTGCCTCATATATGCAAAACCATGCAGTCTTTTACGCAATTAGTAATACTGATATTGTATTTTGCATGTTGCCTGGCGATATATGTAATGTATTAAACTTGCGCATTTCTTACAAACGACTTCTACAAAATGATTTATATGTGATCACTATTACCTTATACTATTTAGTCCGTAGCTCACGTTATAAGGTATTTTAAAGTAATTTCTTGTAAAGTTCATGTTTTAATGTATTGAAAGTTAATATAGACGCTACCTGTATCACCGAGATTATATAATATTTTAGATGCCATGTAAATACAAGACTTATTCAACTATAGGAATTGATTGTTAAATAATTGGTCTAACGCAAGTACTATGCTCTAGACAGTTATTGTAGTACTAAATTGTGGTCTCTAACGTAGACAAGGTACTTATACATACGAATATAATGCAATACTTATTTCGTAAGCGCTACAGTATCGAATATACTAATTATTCTGCTCTGAAATTTCAGTTTATAATAATCAAATTGTATCGATATTATCTATTTTTATAGAGATGAATATTAATATTATTGGTTGTTAGGTGATTAACGACATAATGTTGTATAAGAAACAGCATATTAGTCTGTACTTTTAACAGAAAATATCTATATATCTATGGCTATACAAACAGAATTAAAACTAAAACTATGAAGACTCTTTGAATTACTAAATCAATTTATCTTAGTGCTTAGACTTTTATTTCGTTATAATATAAATTTGGACCACTTCGTGCAATAATCAGTTAAGCCAACTAGACATCACGATTAATGCTTATAATTTATTAATCTATGAAGCTTTTTAATGCATGTGCTTGTGTAATGATGCGCGCATAACTTCAATAAATTTACTGTGATGATTTTATGGATATTCCTACGTAGCTGGACATACCTGGTACTTTTTCCGATTGATTTCTTAGAAGTTGCAAGTCCAATTACCGGGCATATAGTTACAATTACAGTAACGTAACTTGTTAATCTTTAATGAAAGCATTAAAGTCCTTCTCTGATGCTTAGGCTGGCAATTTAAGTGCTACATAATTTATGCTATGAACTCGAAAGTGACAGAATTATCAATGTTAATAACACCTATTAAAATTTAATTACTTACAGCTATGTTAAATGGCTTGATAAATCTAGGTTATTAATGAGAATATACCTTTATGTTCTATAGCATGTAACTGGATCACTTATTATTATTATTATTGATCAGCGATTATTATCGATTAGTAGTACAGTAGGCATTGTATGTGATATAGCTATTGCTGGACTATATTTCTGCTTGTAGTAGTATGCTAGACAACTATAATGTTATTCTTACAGCCATTCATTGTAAATAACTCTTGAAATTTACTATTTTACGATATAAATATCATATATAAGCAAAGAATAACAATTATATGAAATTATCCATAAAAATGCATATTTAACTATACGGTAATTATGCAAAATACACTTTATTGGAGTGAAGCTACGATAATTTCGCCACCAGATCACATAATTACGATAAATTATCTTCACTTTAGCGTTATCGAATAGAGTTATAGACATCTTAAATATTACATACCAATATTATGAGAAGGATGAACAATGTACCATTTTTAAATTACAGTGAAAATGAAATAATTAATGAATACAATAATCAGGTATAGATGAACTATACATATGCAGTTTATCTAATCAGTACAGAAATGATTAATGTTTATTTGAAAGAAAATCTTTCATCGAGTGTCAGTTTCAGGAACATATTATACTGTAATAAATTTTTTCATGTTAGGTTTGCAGATCTGAGATGAAGCATTCTATTATACTTCTGATTAATATTCAGTCAGATTACAAGTTTAAACCGCTATGAACGTATTCATGTTATTACTGTGAATTAAAAGCGATGACTATTGGTAACTTTATCTACTTAATTGTAATAATTGCTAGCTAGTAAGGCTCCTCTATTTTCGGCTTATTAGGGTTATTTTCGATTAACCAGTTAGCAAGCCATAAAATTGCATCATCTGGCTTTTTCTTACATAATTCTGTTAGTCCTTTCAAGAGAGTTGGATTGATTCTCCTTTGTAAGTAGTCTGTAGCTGTTTGACCATCTGGTACCGGATGGGATATGACTAATGATTTTCACATAGGAGACGTAAGATTAGTAAAGTTTAGCGATAAATGCCTTAGTATATATACCTAGTAAAATAATGTCTATACGCACTTTTTAACATAGCTTTTTTCTGCTATTTTATAAGCAATCAAGAAAACTTCTTCAAGTAATACTAATGAAGCTACAGTATCTTAAAGTTAGTAAGAGCTACTTACAATCTGGGAAGAAAAATCGAATTTCTCTCTCAGCAGTTAATGGACCATCACTACCATGGAAGCCGTTTCTCATCTCATCAATCCCATACTTTGCACGTAGACTTTCAGGAGCTGCAATTCGAGCATTCATCGAGTTTGTAGGTCCCATGGAATTTCTCCAATCCTCAATTGCATTATTCTTAGCCAAGATATAAGCTACAATTGGCCCACTACTCATAAATGTAACCAATGCTGGAAAGAACATTTTCCCATAGTGCTCTGTATAGAATTCACTGGCCTGTTCTGAAGTGAGTCGGACACAGCGTCTTTGAAGTACACAAAATCCTTGCTTTTCCAATAATTCTACTATCTCATCTTCTTTCCTAACTGCATTGGGCTTAATAATAGCGAGGGTACACTGATAACTGTCACTAGTCATTATCGATTAGCAAAACTCCTTAGCGGATAAGAAAATTTACTATAGTACCTATGGTGTCGGAACTTAAAAATTTCACGAAATTGTTTCAATGATAACTCTGAGTTACAACTAAGTATATTTTAGATATGAACACAGATGATTTTAAAGCGATATGATTAGTCCTAACGAATTTATCTATCTTCAGCCAGTTGTTGTGCTCCGATGTAAGGTAAAACGACGACTCCACAAAGTGATCAGTGCGAATGCGGGAGAGTCAATAGTGCAAAGTATCAATACATATGATCCGCGACTGTGTATGTATAAATGACTAGGATGTCTATTAGATTATCTGTACAGTAGGACGTAACTGAGATATTTGTGACAATTACCTTAGTAGCCTATGCGATCAGCGTAGAATCGTCTTGATATCAATTTGTCGATAAACTTTGGCGTTGCCTTAGCAACCCGTTTCGATATGTTGATAGTTGATAACTTGATGTACTGTACTGTAGGTTTAGCGTTACAGTGTAAAATACTGTAATGTACTGTACTGTACAGTGTACAGTACACTACTGTACTGTACTGTACTGTAGTCAAGGATTCCTAGAGGGAAATACCGTACAGTACTTGGCCGGCAGGTTTACAGTACGGTATTCTAGCACGTGTACTGTACAGTGTCCACTGTCCAGTACGGTACTGTACAGTACAGTAATTCACTGATGACAGTACAGTATAGTGTACTGTACAGTACTGTACTGTACTGTACGGTAGTGTTGAAATGGCGAAGACATTTACGGACTGTAGTATTGTATAATCTTTCAATTATAATTTGACTTTAAGGATTAAAAATTTCAAGTGAATTTCCTCTTATTTTTGTAATTAATGTTCATACTCAGGATTTAATTACGTAAGGGTTACCAGAGGAATAAAAGTAAAAAATAATAAAATTCATTTCTAAACATGAAATACTAAGTTAAGTTGTATGTGTTGATGTACTGTATACTTTACACATACATTCTGTACCAAGATCCTCATCCGTTCATGCTGTCCTCACATCTTGCTACAGTATCAAGATTCGCCCTTTTACTTACAGTACTCTACAAGTTCCATCCTCAACTTATCCAAATTATTTTATTTTTAATTTTATAATTTCGCAATTTTTTCTTCTTTCTTTCTACTCAGTGTACAGTGTTGCGACAGCAAACGTAACTCTGTCTGTCTGTGTCTACCGAAGTGATGACTCTACACAGTGTACAGTATGTGACTGAGTGTTATTTATCATCCTGCTGTCATGTGATCGTAGAACGTTTTAAATGGTGCTAAGGAGGGTGTAACTGCCGACGACCATTATGTGGCGAGAAGGTGGAATATGCCAATCGGTCACACTCTAAAAACTCTATAACTTCAACATATCGATTCATTCATTTAAACGCCCACTAGATTCTTATTAAACATAAACAGCATGGATTATGGAGTAAAAACTTTTTTTCTATAAATCTCCTATAATTAATATGTAGTAGTATAACTAATAGGAAAGTTATGATTCAACTCACTATTCCATAGCTTACGTTGAATCTGCCTCACCCCTTTAGTACGTAGTGCTTTAACTATATACAGTACCGCACAAGTGCACATTTTATTTTTATTTTTCTATCTTATGCTTGTTTATATATTAAAATATATATGGTAACCAATAATAATACACACTGCGTACGTAATAAATCAAACCCACTCATTCTTACTTAATCCGACTAAAACGTCTCACAATTTTCGCGTGCATGTAAATTACTAAAGGTGAGAGTAGAATAAGAATTTCGTAAGGATTTCGTCTCAACTCCACTGAGTTATAAGGCGATTTTTTGATCAGTTGCTTTATGCAATGAATCATTATGAATGCGTTACGATACTTATGAGAATTGACCGTGTCTTTCAATTTGAAATTTTAATAATTTATCGTCAGTGCTTTTATTCCGTTCATAAGCGTATAATTAAATAAATAACTGTTATGAAATTATTTTGATTAGATCCTATTAGAAATTTGCTCCAATTTTTGTCATGATTGGAAGAATGACATATTATTTCGGCTTATGCTTAATGCAAGTATGAAATGTTATCTTACAGAAATTTTATGCAGCATGTGTACCGATTGTAATTATCGAATCCGTCATTATATATACATATCACAATCATAAATAACGATTGTATACATTAAGTGTTTAGTAACGAATAGAGAATTAAGTTGTAATTGAAATCTCTTGTAATATCAATACATTAATATATTTCAAAAAATATCAGCTTTTAGTATTATTTCCATCAATCATGAGCTATCGTGTTTAGTACCGCGTATTCCATCGAAATTGCTGAACTTTAAGATTCAAAATTCAAAGAAATCTTCATTTAATGATTGATGAGTATGTACTGTATTAAACTGCTCATCCTTATTGTTATAGAGTATTATACCTGGTCGTATTCCATTGGTAAACGCTTCCTGTTTAGTGGTTTCGATTTCAGAAGCTCTCACTATATCTACCACACGGAAATCGTCATTACAGTTATTCTTAGTGTTATAAAATTTATATGTACTATCAGCCTTTTAAAATATTGTATAATTATAGTTTCTTTTACTAATTTAAAAGATGACTAAAGCAATACCTTAATAAAGGCTTTAATTAAATGATTATCGCAACTATCGTAGTAAAACTGATAGTGTACGTCCAAACTGCATTTCTGATAGCTCACCATTTTACTGTATAATTTGTTCTTCATATAGACAGCATGTAATATCATTTAGCAATTCACGTTCATAACATTAGTTTCGTAATTTCTTCCAATATGTATCTGTACGGATAATCGCTATCTTTAATCGACGTAAAGATAAGACTAATTACATAACACTAGATTAGCTATAAATATCATTTATTCGCCGTTACTTTGGCGGTAGGTTACACCCATAACTACATCGTCGTTAATGATCATTTTTTGCTTTTTGCAGCATTTATTAACTCCTAATAGCTCATAAAAACTATGCCTAAATTTTCGATTAAGAAATCCATATATAACAGGATTGCAGGCTGAATTCATCAGTGCTAACCATGTAGTAGCTGTAAAGAATAACTTGGGAAATGGACAGTAGGGAAATGTTAAGCAAATAATGCCAAAAAAGTGGGGAGACCAACATATCATAAATGTTCCCATGACAGTCATCAACGTAATCGTTGCTTTTTCTTCACGACGATATTTACGAAACGCATTTGTTATACGACTTTTATCTCTAATATCAACTGGTAAAAATTACTGCCATTAGACTGATTATGTTCCTGATTACTATTATTATTATTGTCCTCACTTGGTGTTCCCGGAAGATTTAAAGAAGCCATTTCGGCGGCAATTATTTTCGATTGTGCCCGAGCAACTCGTAATATATGATAATAACAATAAGCCATAATAGCTAAAGGTAAAAAAAAAGCAGCTCCAATTGTTGTTAAAGTATAGCTTAAGCTATGGCCCCAATCGGCCGTACATAATGACTCTTCATAGTAATACCGATAAGTGCTCCATCCAGTAAATGGTAAAGCAGCAAAAACAAAGGCATGTAGCCATATGTACACAACCATACAAGTAACAGTTCTAGGGCTCATTTTTCGATGGTAATCCAATGGACGAAGTATAACATAATAACGATCTATACTAACTGCGCTTAATGTCAATAGCGATACAATACAAAAGAAGGAATTGGCAAATCCTTGTATTTGGCACATTTCGTAGCCAAATATCCACCGAACAGTAACACTCGATACAGCTGCTAATGACATACCAATAATGGCAAAGAGTAAATCAGCTACTGCTAGATTAGCAACAAACACATTACGTATAGTTTGTAAGCTCTTCTTCCTTTTGATTGATAGCAGGACTAAGATGTTTCCTGCAATAGCAGCGATAGCGAAAAATGTCATTGTCGAAGCTTCAGCTACAATAGAAGGTACTGTTTTATTGTAAGTTTCATTTTGTGGTGTTATTAGTGATCTCATTATGGCTATAACAAAGCCCTTTCTATTGCTTTTAACTTAAAAAGTCTTGAAAATGGATTGCCAAATCTTAAATTTTCTTGTTGAAATTTTTCGCTATAACACGACCATTCATAATTGATTTAAAATAAATTGCAGCGATAACTAGTTAGCTATCAACTGATAACAATAAATTTCACGAAAAAGACGAATCTTGATATTTGGTTCGGCAATTATTTCCAGTTGTTTCTTAAGATAGCGATTCCCAGTTAGAAGCGGAAATTAACAAGATTTGGACAAACTATGATATAGAATGTAATGCTTTAATGATTTCACGAGATCTAAATAAATTTTTCTTGATTGAAACTCAAAAATCAGCCAACTTTGACGATATTAATGGAAAAACAATTCGATCTTGAACACCAAGATGGTAAGAGTGAAAGAGGGATATAGTTGTTGTAAAATTAACAGGATATTAACTCGTAGATTGCGCAATCTCTTCACATTTGTTTTTCTTATTTTCACTAACTTTAACAAATTTGGCTAACTGTCTTCACGTTTACATGAATGGCATCAACTATCATCTTCAAGCTATAAACAAAAAGCAAAGCAAGTTTTAAAACACTGGCAAGGATCATGGTATCATGGAAATACAAGTTAAGACACTTTCTAGACATGGTAAACGCCGTAACTTGGAGCTATGTATAACATGTCAATGTAAATAATAAAATGACCAGCCTAAGAACCAACCACTTCGCTGGCTGGTTACTCAATTCTTTATAAATCCTTAGGCCCTATAATTTGGTTAGTGCGTGCCCACAACTAATATGGTGCTTCGTATGGACATATGTTAAGAACGGAGAACTAATATATTAGTGCGATTATCCTATTACCATGGCAAGTTACTGTAACTAGAAGGCTACAAATGACGTAGAGGTACTTTAAGACTTTTTCTGTACCATACTCCTTCCTAATTTCAAGACCACAAAAAATAATCAAAATTCTACTGTAATTGTTCATGATGCTCATAATCCGGTCTAGCATATTTTCTATACTGGATAGCATCGTACAATATGTAGATTGAAACAGAATTATTAATAGCAAGAGAATAAGAATTGGATGATTGACTAATTCGGATAAATTGCATTGAAACATCAAAGGAAACTGATGGTAATGTTTTAAAAAATTATCCCTATTACAAAATTCTCTCTAATTACTCCGCTATCGAATAACATTGCTGCATGGTAGTTGCTACTGCCATTATCTCCGCCCGATTATCGTATTCATTCAAGTAATAAAAGTGTTCACTTCATTACTTGTAACGTTACTATGTAGTGTATAATAATCTCATTCTCTAATACTTATTTAATATTAAGATCAATCATGAAAATGTGCCTAAAAATGCTGTATCGTAACAATATTAGCTTTCTGCTGTATATAGCAAAATCTTCAAGAATTTAGAAGAGGGAAATCATTTCTTTATACAAAAAGAAATGATTAATGGATAGAGAAATAATACAAGAGCTTAAATGTGACAGCATGGGATAAGGATAGTATGATAGTCTAAAAGAGTTAATTGATAATGAAAATTAATGATGAAAGCATTTCCTAATTTAATAATTTCATGTAGCTGACAAAATTAATTTCCAGTTGTACTGCCCTCCTACCGTTGTTTCAGAAAATTTAAATGATGATCATGTTATGTCAGAGAGAAGTAAACAATATAAAGAATAGAAATATTCCAGTAAAGCCTTAATAATATTATAATTAACACATTTTTATTGTCTTGTCATAGATAAAACACCAAGACATATCTGTTATTTATCATCCGCCCTAAGTTTTAATGCAGATAATCTCAATTTTTATCCTACACCCAGTATTTAATAATAACTTCCAGTTACAATTTGAATTCCTTTATGTAGAGTCAGAAAGACAAAATAATATAAGTAGCTGCAATCACACTTGAAATTAAGATTGGAAGTTATCAAATGCAAATTATCAAAATATGATACGATGATGACGTTTTTATCGTAACAGGCGAATCAAAATTGTTTGGAACGACATCAGCCGAGAATGTAACAGAATAACACAATTATTATTAATCTAATAATTTCAATATCAGTTTTACTCTTTTCAAAATCAGCAGATGGCGATACTTTAACCGTGCTTATTTTCAGCGTATGCAAAATAAATTTTACGACTAAGTAAATTCACAACGGTAAACCCTTCAGAATGACTATCTCTCATATATTTTATGAGTGACTGACTGTTATTAAACTTAATCCTTGCTACACGGTATACGCGTATATGCCAAAATAGTAGCTTACACATGACAAAATCAAAATGAAGACTTAATTTTCCTAAGTGTTAAATACCAGCAAGCAAAATGCATTAACAAATAAACGATTACCTTCGGGACTTTTATTGTGATGATGGAGGTTGAAGTATGAGTATAATCTAGTTTAATGCGGAGAGATACCATGCAGTCAAAATTTAATAAATAAAATGATATTAGACAGTATCGATGTTATATAAATCGGTAAGTTGATAATGAATATTGGAAAGAAGAAACAAAAGATGGCTTAAAATCTTTTGAAAAATGGTATCATACATATCGTTCATAATTAATATTTAATATTTAAGATTGAATGAAAGTTATTATTTTCATTAGGTGATGTCGTTGATATAAGAATTGAAAGATCAGTGACAGCGTAAAAATAGATATTTACTCTGAAACAATCGTTATTTGATTGTTAGGAATAATACTACCTTTCATCCAATATAAAATTGAAAAATTAAGGCTGGATATAAATTGAATTATGATATCATACTAATTCAATTAATTATTGACTAGTTTACGTAAAAAAGACAACGATAATGCAAATAAAATGTTTATAAAACTGTTTTGCGTCTAATTAAATGGATACATTCCGAGTATGTTAAAAGACTAAGATAACGATATTAGTATGAAATGAATCTTTTATTTCTTTTGAAATCAGCTTTACTCTGTTAAATACCCGGGGATCATAACCCTAGTTCTGCATAAAGTATAGAAATATTAATGTACTGTATGATTTATTACCCAGATATCTATATTAATTCAAAGTACCGTACACGTATACGCTTGCAATGAATTAGCCTATTGAAATAATGTAGAATACTCTATATCTACTTCATTTTACATGTATTAGGAGTCAAATTAAGCCCAAATAATATTGAAACTGACAATCGATAATGCTTGATACTGGGATAAACATCAATGTTTAACATTTCACCAAGGTTTAAGTAAGACCATATACAGGCTATAAACTTAAAATAGTAATTTTTCTGCAGTGTCACATAATTAAAATATCATGAGAAATGAATGGGCGAACGTCAAATTCAAAAATCTAAAAATATTACGGGACAATATTGTCACTGAAATTATCTACATAAACAGTACGAGAGAAATGCTTTGATTATTGCAATGTGACGAAGGATGAACACAGTAGTGTCATTAATGAATCATGATTTTATCCACTGAAATATAGTACCACTAAAAGGTTTCCATAGCTTTACATATATGGTTACTACATCAGATTCTTATGCTTTATATGAAAGATGAATAATAACCCATGCCTTGCATTGTTCGCAGAAAATAATCTTTGTCTTTGCTTTTAATTCACAATACAACTGTAGTCTGTACTACAACCGCACAGCCTACTTTGTAAGAGTACAATAGGCTTATAGGAAGCAAAATTAAGTCTAAAATACTTTTGAAAAGTGGCGATTAATAACATCATACAAATAGATAGCCAATGTTTACTTATATTATATTCTATTTTATATAGCATCATTAAATTTATCTCTAAATAGCCCTCTGCATGACGTTCGTAATAAATAATTCAGCATAAGGACACCGCTGACATCAAGCATAATAGGTGTACTTAAAAAATGAAGATTTAGGAAACTTATCGAATTGCACTGTAGAATATGGTTACTGCCGGGAACTATAGTGCACCTCATCTTGCTGGGATAGTGCAGGAGTAAAAAGGAGTTTTTTGGTCTAATTAGCACTATATAGCTATAATTAATAAGTTTGTTATTCGTAAATTGGTCGTATAAGCGTTAAGGCTAGATAAGTGGAATAGCCTGAATGACTACTCCTATGCTGCAATGAACGTACACGAAAATTTTTTAAAATAATTTTTCAGACTGAGCACATGCTTGTAAAATACTATTTGTCCCGTAGATTCAGGATGATTTCGTTGAGAATTGAAAGCCAATAATTCTATATTGTAGAGCTGAGATGGAATAGTTTAGACTAAATCACCAATATATTACATCAAGTAGTATATATAATAAGCAAGGAACTAAAGAGAAGAAGTATGCTTGCCGGATGCCAATTACGTAACTCATGAAGGAGTGTAAAGGGCAGTCATGATTGATGAAGGTCGTAAATGTCGTAATAAATTGTAATTTATCCTCTCTCTCTCTCTCTCCACTCGTTAACTACGATAATTAATTAATGTAAACTAATAAAAACTTTACTAGCGCTAAAAAATTACTTCTATTTAATCTATTAGTAATCGTACCACTCTTTCCATAAGAGTCTTTTCTACTGCATATAAACCAAATTATAGATTCGACGTCGTATTTAAGACTGTTTTATATAACATTTATGTCTACTGAATAATCAGCTGACGAGTATAGTCCTATAATATCACGGTTTACTAATTTTCTAAGAACAATCATGGCTTCAAAAGTGATATAATTGTTCGATATTAGACAACAGCTGACCTTAAATATGGACACACTTCCGTCAGATGCTTCTACTTATGATTGTAACCCTTTCACAGTGTAGATAGTATTAGCAGAAGTTTATACGCGTACATTGCTACAATTCAGCTGTTCATTTGTAGATCTTCGTAAACACTAAATTAAACAAGATCATAATTGCGACGCTCCGA